GTAGACGTATTGTTGTGGGTTTATCCTACCTACACTAGTAGCTAGAGTTGCCGTGGGAATTACAACACCGCACAGCTCTTAGCAGTAATGAACACATAGCAACATGATTGTTTTGAAGCAAAATACGTCGATGTTGCAGTAGATAAGGTCGGCGTAGTGGAGTCGAATACAGAAGCCCTCTACGAAGAGAAGACCCATCGTCAAAAAATGATCAGCTTCATGGGGCCACCAATAAACAAAGATTTATCACTATTCGTAAAAAATCCGTTATGCCTTCGCCGAGATGATACAGCCACCGTAGCTGGCGATTTTAAGCTATCAGCTGTTAGCTCGTGTGTACGCGGGGTGTTTACCTCGATCACGGCTAGGATGCACAGGCCACACTCCGCGCGATGTCTTCCTGACTAGGACGAGGGTGCAACAGACAGTTCGGGCAATAGCATGACTTCGTGAGGTCTACCAACACACAACATTGCTGTGACTATGGCGAAGAAGTATAAAGTTGCGGAGAAAGAACGAAGGCCCGAGGAACATAATGAGGCGCTAAGTCGACTGGGTGGAGATAAACACTCAGCGGATAGTTCAGTAACTTTGCCGGATCCAAATGGTGCTGTAGAGGGCCCATCGAGGTTTGTTTTAGATTGGAGTAGAGTGTGGCTCTGCATGAAAAATGTGACTAAGAAGCTAGCTCAACGTTAGCACGGACCATTCCGGGTCAAACAAAAGGTTAATGGGCTCGCGTTCGAGTTGGAATTGCCAGACAAGAGCGGATACTGCTTCTACCCGGTGATGCATGTGTCAAGACTCAAGCCGATGAACGAGTTTCCAAGTCGACTGAAGACTCGGTTGACGCATGAGGTGACTGAGGATTGGAGGTTCGACTTCGATGAGGAGTTGCTGCCTGGGAGCCTTATCACATAGCGGGCGAATACGAGGTTGAGGCCATCCTCGATCATCGAAAGCCACTATCAACGAGCACTAAACGCGCCGTGCGAGAGCTCGCGTCCAAGTGGGTTAGCTACGGTGAACTAATGGGGGTCAGTATCTATCATCGCAACCACCACCGGTAGACCCAGCGGCTGCCCCAGGAGGTGGAATGGCCAGTGACCGGATTTTACTCTGTACACGATTTTACCCTTTATATTTAAGTATCGATATTTGCAGTACCGATGTTGACACGATTATACGAAAGAGAAAACTTGGTGCCTTCAATTTTGCGGAGTACAATACAAAATTATCGTAAAATAGGTTTAATTATAAATCTTTAAACTACATATGTAAAATAGGTTTAATTATAAAACTTTAAATTACAGATGAACCTGTCTAAGATGGGCTCGTGTATCGCGATATATTGTCGTACTTGCTAGAGTGATTCCATCGAACTGGTAGACTTGCTTTTTGTAAAGTCCCTTGATAACACTGTCTAACCTGAATCTCGATACAATGTGACGACAGACAAAATCCAGTCAAATATGTTCAATATCAAAGGTTTTACCTACTGGTATTCCGTGGTACATATCGACATAAAATCACGTGCTTGTCCATTCTAAGCTGATTTCATCGGAAATCAGCTTCTGAAGGATCACAGTAGAGACCTTAGAAAGTCTAAATATCGTCAGATATTAACATAAAATTCCAGATTTGAAACATTCAGTTCGAATCCCACGAATGTGCTGAACATCAACCTCCTTAACATGACCAACTTGTTATACTCGATTAAAAGCTGTTCCATGGACTGTACTAGTATTAGTCAAGGCCTTGTAATTAAACAGGTGTATAACATGATTGTATGCATCTCTGTGTTTAAAGTAAGCTGTCGCCTCTGGTACAACCATGTCCAGGGAAGGGCGAGGCTACTGTTGCTAGCGACCGGTAAAAAATAAAATTAGAATTGTTGGTAATTTTATTTTATTTTTGCAAACTCCATATTAGGACGCACTATTGGATCTGAACCAGACAGAGAGAAACTGATATTAAGACGTGTAGCTAGAACTGCTGAAGTTCCCCCCCCCAAGGCTGTCAATAATAACTCATAAATCTTTGCTGGTTTATCAAACAGTTCACCATCATAAATGTTGTGGACTTGGAACCCTTGATGGAAAGGCGACTCATACTAACCCAGTATTTTGACACCGTGCCCATACAATAACCTGAATGTAGTTCATAATATTATTGCCTGCAGAATAAAGACATGGAAGGGGTAGCCGGCGGCGCTCCCTAAAAGTATGCCGAAGTGTATTTCTTGGCAAAAGGTAAAGTGAGTCTCTGCTACATATACTTGCTACTCTAGTTGGAGCCGGAGGGGCTTCTGGGGCTGAACGCTCAGAAGCGCCTCCATCGCATTAATTACCTCACCGTAGACCTGAATGCCGAGGAGAAACTATGAACTTGGAGTGTCATTACAGTTGTCGATACACGCCGTTCCTGTAGACAGCATTGTCGATACGCAGACGCAGCCATAGACGATACGTTTCATATAACTGCAACTCGTATCTAGAGCTGGCTGGTACTTACATTGTAAATGCAGGCGTAGCCTGCACGACAATAATGTTATTTTCCGGAGGGAATCTTCCCACCTTCGCATTCTGAAATCCAAAATAAGGCGGGCCGGGGGCTTCATGCATACCACGACACGGTAGGCAATGCTGGCTCAACACCACCGGGTGACACAAGCAAGTTCGCTCCACCGCAACCTGTCTATCTGTCTCGGCGGCTCTTCGCACTGATGACACGAGATCAGCAGGTTGAACTCTGCGACGCTTGGTTTTCCTACAGCCGATGGACGCGGGGATTATCGCCGCGTTTGTACAGCGTTACCGGAGTAAGCATCTGCATTGGGTATTGCAAAAGATCAAGCGGCAGGAGATTGTGAACAAGAAAAACGCATATGCTGTCGACCGACGCCATAATCATCGTCGGCCACGACGTGACCGCGATCATGTAAACCCTTGTGACTTCGCCAGAAGCGTAAACGGGGATGCGCTGAAAGTGTTGTATTCTACAACAAAAGATAGCAAAAGTATAATTGACAATCGGCCACCCCACCGACAATGTCCAACATTGATGAAGTGCATTTTTTTTTAGTTACAATATGTACTTGCCGTGCGAAATATTTCAGCATATACACTACCTAGCATTTTTATGGTCTGAGTATTGATGCAGTATTATTTTTAGTGCCAGGTTTCTCTACTCATATACAATAATATCATTTTGCGTAACACTAATAGATTCACTCTTAGTAGAATACTACGAAATGTTTTATATTGTGCAAGTTATCTTCCCATCTTGTTCCCGTAAAGGTCGAGTTACCTCTCTTTTCTACTTTCTCTTTACGAAAACGTCAGGGCTCAAGAGAATAGAGATGATTTGGGGAAATGTGCTACATGTGTCTTTTCTATCGTACCGTGATCGGTGAATAATCTTGTGTACCTTATGCCACTTTACTGAACGTTTTTATGTGATTCATCATTGTTGTAGTGACGTCAAATCTGTTCACCATAAGGTCAAGTCATTCATTCGGAAAGTTGCTGTTGAAAACGAAGAACAAGTGCAGCCTTGCAATGCGCTTCTTCATATTTCTGGCCCTGGTCGTGGTTTCAACCATAAACAACGCCGACCAAAATCTTCCTGTTATCAGCACCACCGAAACGGTGGATTTTGACTCAATGAACAACGACGTTCGGCGTCTCAGGAAACGGCAGAAACTGGACGATGAAGAGAGGGACGCTGCTGCGTATTTGTTGGATAGCGATGATGAATCCACAACTTCGAAGAAGCGCAAAGACGGAAAGGCATCACAGTTTATTCATCAGATGGACGAAAAACCACTATCTCCTAAAGCGAAAATGTGGATGAGTGCTCTCACGCTTCTGTTTGGTATTGGTATTACGGCTGGTGCTGCTTTCGGTATTACCAAGCTAATGAATTGAATAAATGAAAACTACCAACAACACACGAATTGCACAAATATAGTAATAACTGTCTCATTCGCAAAGCAGTATTCACACTGCTATAAATCGGCCCAAGTGCGTCGAGACATGAGGGGGGGCATCATAAATGTTCATATCAAGGTAAAAGCAAGATATCTTTCCAGTGTGAATAGATGTTGCTTTTAGCGGTGTTTCTAAGCTCGCTGTGACCTACCCGGAGGGTAGAAAAATCTGTACATGTGTCGTGAACACTTAGCACTTAGAAATTAAGGGTTACTACATCTCCGCTGGGGTATTTAGCGGTATCGTATCCACACAAAGAGCATTACATTCGAGGTGCTTTCCCCTACAACAACATTAACAGTGTTGTTGCTAGAACAGCGCAATATTTGAAACAGCGGATAACTTACTTAGATAATATTACGAATAGAATACCGGGAATGCTTTCTTTATTCTGAGATAGGAAGCAACGAAGTGCTGAATAGCACAGCCCAACTCAGATTAATTGTACACACTTGTATGCCGATATCGTATCGGTAAAAAAAACAAGGCTCCAAAAAGTCTTTATAGGAAGCAATGGTATACCGATATCATCATAATGCTTAATATTGGTAGTGTTTCGGTACGAAGTAAACGTACCGCCCAACTGGGATTACCGTACCTCACAAATTAATGTTTTGGCAGAATTCCGAACTGCTGTCATCTTAACCCTTTAACTACCGTGCTACTTAGAGGCCCCTACAGACCTCTAACAGATCAAATAAGCGACTCTCATTGGACAAAACACTTCGTTGCTCATCAACAGATGCAGCCGTGACGTCGATAGAGGTCTGTAAGGACCCTTAGCAAAGCATCTTCTGGCCCCACGTTAGATACCATCCTCGTGATATAAGCTAGTTAAAGGTTTCTCCCCCCTCTCACCATATCCACAACAGATTGAAACACGCAACGACAATGACGGAGCAAGCAGGGGAGCCGATTGGAGCTGTTGAGGACTTGGTAGGAAATTGGGAGCTTGACAGCCCTGATGCAATCGATATGGCCGACGTAGATACGGCTAATGAAGATATAGCTTCTGATGCTGAAGAAGAAAAGGACGGGCGAGGTGGTGGAGATCAAGACCAAGACCCAAGCAGCGTTTTGCCTACACCGGGGAGTATCGCCGAGGAGTATATGGCTTCACTACGCGAGCAAAGTGGGCTTCACGTGACAATCCGGGGACAAGTGAGTTCTGCTTTCGACAAAAATGCCGAGTATGGCGTGTTTTCGTTGATTTTTACTGGTGTTTTCAAGGAGAGACTACGGAGATGGACATCTGCTGTGCTAGTGAAGGCAGGGCGTACTGCAATTACAGAATCTGAATTTAACGCGTATTTAGGCCTGGAGCTGGCCATGAGCATCTGTCCGCTGAATGATATTGCCGATTACTGGTCTGGTAGTCACTTTTTGGGGCAGAGTACATTTATTGAAACAATGTCAAGGACGAGATTTCAGCAGATCCGTGGTGCTTTGACACTTCATCCTCCTGAAGATCCGTCGTTCGACAGAGAGAAAGACCCTCTTTGGCGTTGCCGGGATGTAATGGAGCATTTTCAACGGCTATTCGCAGAGTATGCGGTACCGGTTGGCGTCAGCAGTATAGATGAAATGACTGTGCGGACTAAAGCAAGGACACGGGCAAAGACTTTCATGCCGTCTAAACCCGACAAGTATGGTGTGCGATTCTATGCAGTTGTGGGTTGGGATTCTCTTTATGTCCACTCATTGTGGGACAATTCGTCGGGCAATACGACGCCTTCCACTCCTGCTGAGCGCTATACGCGATTGTTTCCTTCATTACGCACACCACTTTACAATACGCTACGTTCTGACGATGTTTCTATCGAGGCAACTTCTGCGACGGCAATGTGGATCGCAATGGCTGGTCATCAAACACAGTCATTTAGATCTCCTACGGGGCACCGCCTGGTAGTATCTGATAATTTTTACACCAGGCACACTTTTGCCCAGGCGTTGCTGAAATTTACTGATGGAGAAATGCACTTACTTGGCACCGTACGAATTAATCTCGTAGATAAGTGGAATAAGCCGGCTGTGAGTGCTGCTATTGGGCGTGTTGATGCTGGCAATCGTGGAAGCTGGGAGCTGGTAGCGGCTGTGAATCCGGAGCCTGGTTGGGAAGCCAAACAAAAAGGTCACCAAAAGCGTCAACGTGGCGTTGCGAAAGCGAAGCAAACAGCGTTCGAACCAACAATTGTTCAGGCGCAAAACGCAGGCTACATCATCTATAAGGACAGAAAGGTGGTAATTTTCTACACAAATGATCTGAAGGCGACACCATCGGAGCGTTCACTACCGTCAACTTCGCCTGAAGCTGTTTATTGCTGCCACGGTACTTACCCTATCCAAAGGTGGACAGAGGATCGCATGTTACACCGCGAAATTTTTATGGCTCCGACAGTAATTTCAGCCTATAATCTTTGTATGAACGCTGTTGATCGCGTGGACCAACTGCGCAGTACCAACCCCACTCGGAGACGTGAAAAACGTCTGGGCATGACTATATTTACGTGGATGATGGACCTTGCGGTGATCAACGCTCACACGCTGCTAACGACTGTACGACCTACAGCGACACAAGGGTTAGCATTGCGCGAATTCAAACGCCGAGTTGCTGAGGTCCTTACCAGCGGCGAGCGTCAAAATAAAACCAGACGTGCTTCGCAGAAAAAAAAAGCGTGCTCGAGAAACACTGGATGAAATTGTGGGAATTGATTCATCCATTCACATGATCACTCCAAATTCTACTGCTCACAGCAGTGGAAAACTGCTTTGTCATCTCTGCAGCCTGCGAAACATTAAAAAAAAAGTCGAGATACGGATGTACAAAATGTGAGCTTGGCTTTCATGTCGAGTGCTTTACTGCTTTTCACAACCAAGCGGTGCTTCAACACTCACCTCAATTGAGAGCCACGTTGGAGGTACTCTGTAGAGCGTCGACGGAGGAACCAGAGACCTTCACACGAAAAAAGCGTAACAGGACCATCACACCAGTTGAGCAGCTTAAACTTCCTGAAAACTAAATAAAAAGACAGACTTACGTTCCGCGGAGGGTCTGGCCAGTATTGTTTGAGCTTCTTTGCAGCACACTTAGGAATAGCGCCACATAGACTGTCTGTCTTCTTGTAGATATAGATCCGTCCTATCGTTTGTCGTAAGACTCGATTCTGGTGCTTTCTCCCCCGAAGTTTCATCTTTATTCTCCCAGCTGTCAGCCAAAGATCCTCTTTGTAGAGTTCCCACTCGCAAGGAGCGACTCCACACCAGCAGCAGAGCGTGTCTGTTGTGGGCTCCATGAGACCTTTTGTAACACCACCGGACGTTCTGAGAATGACCGCACTAAAATAAAGAGGGTTGACAATGTCACTGATTGGCTGTTATGACTTTTAAAATTTGAATGAAAGAGATCTGATTTGGCCAGGTAGAGGTCCAAGCGGACCCGTAACACTTGTGTGGTAGTTAAAGGGTTAACAATTTTCCTTTCAGTTTTAGGGTTTTGAAGGGTTATGTGCACCACACAGTTCACGGGTGGCCATTGACTGTGAGCTCTATTGACCGCAGAACCGCAACGGGGAAGAGGATTATGCTGGCCGCTGCTACTAAGAGCTTCGTGCGCGTCGCCAGCGCCGCCGGATCGCGCCGTGCGCCACTTTTCAGCGCACAGGCCTCCTTCTTCTCCACAGAGGCGACTTCCCCAGCGACGCCCGCTGCTGAGCAACCCAAGCGCACTAAGCTCAAGATCCCGACCAAGCGCGCAGCGTCATTGCTGCAGCAGCTTGAGGCGGAGGCCGTGGCCAAGGCCTCGGAGGGAAAGGACATTGATAACTTCAAGCCTGGTGACTCGGTCGAGGTGCAATACCTGCTGAGCCGTACGGGTGGGCGCGTACAGCGCGTCAAGGGCGTCGTGCTGGCTCGGCGAAACCGCGGCACGGGCAGCTCCTTCGTCATTCGCAACGTACTTATGGCATCTGTGTGAAGTGTTGATACTGAGGTACTGACTGGTTTATATTGTTGGTAACAGCACATCGGTGGCTACGGTTACGAGCAGAAGATCTTCCTGCACTCGCCGCTGCTCCAGAGCGTCAAGGTGCTGCAGGAGGCGTTTATCCACAGAGGCAAGAAGCGCGTGCGTCGTGCAAAACTCTTCTATCTGCGTGAGAAGGCGCCTAGCTTCACCACAGTCTAGACAGTGCGGCTACTTCCGACTCATTGGGACCAGCGTCGCCGCCTCCTTTGCAGCCAGTACGTACGTGTGGATGGAACTTACAGGCACAGTGACGCTGGATAGATGTAGTAAAGCAACACGAGTAGGAGGGTGATAAACAGCACAAACACTAGACGATTCACAGACAGAAAGCTGCAGGACAAGACCAACTTTTGTCTCTTATTGGTGACGAGGTAGTTCGTCTACTCTTCAAGCCACTGCGCCTTGGTCAGCGACTGTTTCTAGGGTCCTGCGCTCCCTCTATCTGCGTTTCTTCTTCTTGGACTTGCGAATGCCAGAGCCGCTAGACACCACGACGGCTGCAGGCTTGTCCGACTCGGCCTTGCGCGCAGCACGAGCGGCTGCATCCAGCTTGAGAGCGTCCTTCTCCGTGCCCATACCGGCTCCCTGAGCGCCGACAAAGCGGTTGCGGCCACGACGTCCACGCTTGCCGTGCGAGCGCTGCTTGCGCGGAATCCAGCGCTCCGGGTCCGGGTTCACCAGTCCAATAGACGCGTTGTAGTCCGGACGAGCGCGCAGGTTGGCCAGATGCGCCTCCCTACGCCTCGCACGCTTACGGGCAATAGCCTCTGGGCTCTTGGCGGCGCGCTTGCGTCTATACAGGCAGAAACAAAGAGCACAGTGAGCTCCAAAACCCAGTCAAATGCCAATGTATGATACGTACTCGTTCTTCTTGTCGCCAGTGTCTGCGAACTTGGCAGCCAAACGGGTCGAGCGCGGAACCTGCTTCTCCAACTCACTGGGGTCAACACCACTCTCCTCAACAGCGGGAAGCATAGCGCATCGAGCCTCAGCCGCTTCAGCGTCACAGAACGACCTATATAAGCATAGTATGCGCGTCAGAACAATGCAGACTGAGCAATACACGCGGGGAACTTACAGCGCGACAACCAGTGAGGCCATCGAACGCAGGCGTAGATCACGGTCCAAAGCACCAGCGGTCTCGCCTTCAAGCAGCTCCAAGTAAGCGTCGGCAGCCTCGCGGTACTGCTTCTTCTGAATCTTGTACCAGCAGTCACCCTCACGAATCTTCATAGCCTGCTCGGACGTGTAGTCACCAGCCTTGTGGTGTGCCAGCGCGCTTTCCAGCACAGCTTGAGCCGACGCTGAGTCGCCTGCCTGCTCGTAGAGGGCGACAAGGGTAGCCACCGTACCGGGGGAGTGCGCCAGCTGTTCAATCGAGCGAATGCACTCGGCAGCCTTCAGCACCTGTCCTTCGGTCAAGTAGACGTGTGCGAGACCGAGACAACCACCCACGCTCACATCACCCTGAGAGCAACGGAAGTTTCGATTAGTCTTGCCACTCAAACACACCCGATTTCAAATATTCCTACCTGGAGCTGCTCGATCGCACCAGCAGCTGACTGGTCCTTGATGGCGAGCAGGACCACAATGTCAGCAATTGACTTCGACGAGGGAAACTGCTTCTTCAACACTTCCAAGCTTTCGCGGCACTCCTCCGTCTGGTTGAACAGAACGATGATGTTAGCACGTCATAGTTAAAACGAGTACTGCAGCTATGTTGACTGGGCGCACCTTGTTCAAGAGGCAAAGCAGCAGCGCGCGGTTTGTGAGGATGGCCTCCTGCTGAGCCGGGCTCAGCTTATCAGACAGCACGGACGCATCGATGTTCTTCAATCGCTTGAACGAGTCCAACACGTCGCGGTCCTTGCGGATCGTCACGATGTTGTTCGATGCCACAGCATCCACTGCACGGTTACGCAGCCTGAAACAATTACAGTTAGCAAACAGAACGCACTTCAACAGCTCGGAACGCCCAGACAGACAACATACTTCAGCTTGAGCACGTTGCGGTAGTCCGAGAGCGCACCGTCCAGATCGCCGCGCATCTGCTTCACAAATGCCTGCTGCGTCTTAATGACAGCCACTTCCTCTTCAATCTCGGCTTCCGAAGCACCCTCGGCCTCAAATGTATCGCGGCACAAGCCTGTCATGGACAACAAGTCAGAGATAGGTCAATATATAACTCGAGGCATGACCAAACACCAATCTCACGTTCAGCAATCAGCAAGAGCTCCTCCGCCGCCCCCCAGTCGCCCGACTGGATAGCCACAAACGACTTGTTGAAAGCCACCTCGAAACCATCATCAATCTGTGACAGCATAGCACACCAAAGTCGGCATTAGAAGAAAAAAACATTTCCTGCAAATATTCGTTTGGGAATGTTCCTCACAGGAATCTCGCGATCCTTCAGCTCTTGGCTTCTACCCGCACTCGCATACGCCGCGAGCAGGTTGGTCTGCAGCTCCAATAGGTCGTCACCCTGCAAGACACAACCATCATCCAAAAGAATGTCAGACTAGAACTTGTAGACGACACGGTACATGTAACACCCACTTCCTGGGCTCGCGAGAGCAGCAGCTCGTAGATGCAGATACTCTGGTTGTAATTTCCCTGGCGAAAGTGCTGCATTAATCGATAAAGAGTAGCGTCAGATCCAGTCCCTCCTTCCTGGTCAAGTATTATAATTATCGACGCACCAGTTGCGCCGCCAGGTGCAGTTGCGCAGTACTCAGTGCCTCCAGGTCTCCTCCCTCCAGAAGTTTCAGCGCTTCATCGTCCTGCTTGAGGCGGTAGAGGCAATAGGCCTTCTCCGTGTTCAAAAAGTCATATTTCACGGCCAATTCCAAGGCCTTGTCGAACTAAAGAAGAAGAAGAAGCGTAAGCATATGTCTTCCACAACTACGGACAACACGACCAGATACCCACGAACCTTCTCTAGACGAATGAGTGCCACACACTTGACCTTGACGGCGTCTACGTCGTCAGGAAACTTGGAACGAACTGCGTGCATACATTAACGGAGGTCAGATACGCAGTCTCCCCCTTCTATTTGACGACGTCAACACCGACGCACTCTTGTTGCAAATGTCCACAGCGCGGGTGTAGTTCTCGCGCTTGAGTGCAGCATTGAGCTCCGAGAAGCTCGCAGCCACCGCGGAGTCAGCGGACACGGCAGTCGCCATTAGCTCCCCTTGGTTTGTTCGATAACAATAAAAGTAGTACTTTGTCCCTGTTAAATAGAGTAACAGTGATACATGTATTATCAATGCAAGACTCTAGTACAGTACTACTATTCTGAAATCAATACTACTTTTTAAAACCTTTCATTTATGTAAAACAACTTGATATATATAAATAAATATATATATATTTTTTACATATTAAACCGTTCATCAGTCCTGACATTTGAAAAGGTTTGTAAATGTATTTTGAGCTATGCAGATCTTGGGCAAACCAGAGGGTCCGATATCCAAAAAGCCAGCTCCGAAATACTCGACATGTCAGATATATTTTTTCAATTGCCACTGACAAAGGGTGGGTTTCAGAGTGGTATCTGGGCAGCCTGACCAAATCGGGGCAGTTTGACCGCTTTACTTCGGCATAAATGACTGGTTGCGGAGTAGTTTAGACACCGACCAATCACAGCACGAAATCACTCTTCTTTTAGCTATATTTGCCAATAATATACGCTAACGACTTTCGTTGAAGAGCCGTTGCCCTTCTCCATTTCTACAACATTCCTGCCTCCCATGTCTCGGAGCTGTTTGGTTCTAAACTACGCACGATTTGCCAGTGGAACTGCGTTGGTGGTCGATGATTTTGTTCTGGTCGCTTGGTTCCTTGTGCGGTGCGGTATCCTTGAGCATGGATTGGTTTCTTCGTTTCCACAGGCAGCAAGATGTGACGACTAGGCAAGCAGCTCCGTGACGGTTGCTTCACCGATGACGACAGCAGACTCGAGGCGCTCAACGACGACACCATCTGCACGCAGCTCCTTCAATCTGGGGCAGTGGAGGATAAGGTAAGCGATGAGAACATCCGCGACCGGTTAGCTGATGTTGTACTTGGATCCTTCGAGCTTGAAACAGGTCGAGAACAGGATACACTGCACTGAAGCGACGCTCTCTTGGGTTTCGGCGTCGAAGGTCTTCAAGTCGAGCGCCTTTACCGTGGCCTTGGTGCCGTAGCCGCTGAGCGCCTTGCTGACCATATGGTCCTTCCTGCTTGTATTGAAGATGTAATAAAACCCCTTGTTTTGTCGTGCTAATGTTCCAGGCATCACGGTCCAAAATTCAGCGGTGAGTCAGTCTATCACAGCCGTTAACGTATTGAGCGCCGCTACAGCGAAACGAGTGTGGCGTTAGAGTGGCAGCAACACCTGAAGACCCAGCAATCCGATCAAGCAGTCGATTGACGTGCGAGTAGATGGGCGCTGCTGCTGCGTCGACGCGGTGGTGGCTGGAGCAAAAACGGCACTAAGAGCGCCGAACTCGTCGGGGTGGTCTAAGACCGCGTGCAACGGTGTGGTAGGGGAAAAGGCGACACCAGCCTCGACCGGGACCGCGGGCAGGTGGTCCAACAGCGCAACACCGGGGGCTGACTGGGCGATGAGGGCCACTGCTATAGCGTACAGGGGGCAAGTCAGGAAGTCTTCGTCGAGGAATAGTAATAGACTCTGCTGTCGGATAGCAAGCAAATATTGCTAAATACTACATATTTGTACCGAGATATACATATTTTCCATCTCCATCCTACCTGACACGACGGAATGACTGGCTTAAATGATCCACCTAACCCTATCCATTTGAATTGCTGTAAATTAAAATGCCAACAATATGTAATTGGTTCCAACTTTAATTGATTGATACGAAGCTCTTTCACTATATACAAAACACTAGTAAGGTCGGATCAGTGATGATATTCATCCATATCGCTCCGACACCCTAGCCCTTTCCGACATGTTTCCCACCACTAGGACCAGCCAATACGATCAGGGGTTAATGACTCATTTAAAGTACGCAAATCTAAGTACGTTCATTTTGAAGTGCGATAAATAATCTCAGTCAGCTTTCGAAAGGGAGGTTACAGGCGCAAGTAAACCACCTGAAGAGGCCTCTAGGCCCAGAAAATCGCATTTTTTTTGATATTCTTACATTTCGGCCCCGGAGCAATGCGCACCAGGGAAGGCAAATTCATTAATGAGGACTGGATTGTGGTGTTGTAATTCCCACGGCAACTCTAGCTACTAGTGTAGGTAGGATAAACCCACAACAATACGTCTACCAGAACGGTAAACGATCGTTGGGCGTGATCTGAAGACCCAGACTCA